TTTTTCGACAATTGTCAAAAAATCTTATCACTCTTGTAAGCTGACTGAATCGTAAAAACTTTCTTTGATGATTGAACGCGTTTCTGAAAACACCACAGGAGTCTCCCACTATCTCGGAAATTTTTTGGAGTAATATGCTATCATTTACTATGGATGCATTGTGCTGAGAGCTTCCATAATCGTACAGTAATGGAGAGTGATCTGAGATTTCTTTTTGAGCATAAGTTGAACTAGTCCTCAAACATGGCGTATGAAATTGCCGAAGAATAGAATTGAGAGAAGAGAATTAGGTATTAACATAAAACAATGTGCACATTCTTGAGAATATCCTGTAGGTTTGTGCCAGTAAAATTAACCAACAAACGTTTTCTGCTGTTAGGAAAATCCTACCAACTAGACAAAAATATAGACCGGTTACGTATGGACAATACAACGAACTCGGACTGAGAAACCCTTAAAGAGCGGATTTATCATCAGCCTTAACCAAGGTAAGATAATGCAACCAGTCTTGGCATCACAAGCTCTACCAGAAAAAAATGTTAACTGAGAAATTGCTTGGGCACAGAAATAAGAAGTCACAAAGAGGACGAAGAAATCGCATAAAAAACTTCATTGAAGTGTTGATCGCAAATGCAAGCACTTCTGCCTGAGTTTTATATTTTATGGGAGCTAGTGGAAATTTGGAAATTTTATCGCCATGCAAAATTTGCTTAAAATTGGGCGCTATGTAACGCAATATTATCTGAGTACGATTGAATCCAGGTCTTCCGGATAGTCGAGTCCTCACTTGAAGAACTGAACTTGCTAAACAACAGTCTCTCAACTATTCCTCTTTTTGGGAATATGTCGAAGCTAACTTCGTTGAACTTGTCTGGAAATAAGGTGAGTCCTTCCTGGAAAAGGACCAAGATTATATGACTATTCTATTACATTGCAGCTGAAAGACATCCCCGAACATTCCTTTGATGGTCTACCAAACTTACGTTTCCTGCGAGTCGAATACAATCAAATCTGCTCTTTTTCACCGTAAATTCAGTTCAGGCAAAGTGCGTGTTTCTTATCACTACGGTATTTCAGGAATGCTTTGGCAGAAGTGAAATCGAATCTGGAATTGCTTGATCTGAGTGGAAATTGTTTTTCTTCTATTCCTGCACAA